GGGAGAGAGAGAGAGAAACATCAATGATGAGAAGTCACTGATCGGCTGCCTCCTGCACAGCCCCTACTGGGGATCGAGCCCGCAACCTGGGCATGTGTCCTTGTCTGGAATCAAACCCAGGACCCTTCAATTCACAGGCTGACGCTCCACCAACTAAACCAAACCAGCTAGGGAATCCCTGATGCTTTTAATTCCACCCCTCCCCACTCTCTGTGTGTGTCTGTCTGTCTCAGTCTCACAGGCTGGCTCTCCTCTGCATGGTTGGCTTCAGCCTACAGATTTTGGGGGGTAAGCCAGACATTTTACCTCTGACTATTTTCCCTTAGCTCTGACCTCCTGTCACGTCTAAACAAGCCTATTGAAGCCAAGGAGATGCTGGCTTCCCCCCTTGAGTAGACCCCAGGCGAGTGAATAGTCTTTTTGTTGCATATTCTCTACCTGAAGGGGCAGCCGCACCACTCTCTCCCTCGGGGTGCACTGCTTTTCTTCGGAGCATTGTCTCCACCTGCAACCCACCTGCATCTTCTTATAGGTCTGTGTGCGCTGGACACAGCCCAGACATGTGCTGTTGTGTTTTGTTTATTTGAAACAGGATTTAAAACCATTTTAAGTCTACATTTAAAATTGGGAGTTTTCACCTAAACATGGAGATAGCTGGCTTCTGGGGAACAATCTGATTGGCTGGCAGCATGGGGTCTACGTCCCCCACTACTGCCTGTGTCCCTGACACACAGGCCTGTGTCAGCAGCCATCTGTCATCATGCTGGCACTGCTGTGGGGTGTGTTTTTATTGTTGTTTGTTTGCTTGTTTTATTTTTAAGTATGTTTTTATTGATTGAAGAGAGAGGGAGAGAAACACTGATGTGACTTGTTCAAATTATCCCTTTCCACACCCTCCTAGAGAAGACAGAATGGCAGGCCTCCTGGTTGGACTTGGGCACCAGTTCTCTACACAGCTGCACGCCTTGGTAGTCCCAGCAACACACCCATAACCAGGGGTAGTTCATTCTAAGATCCCAACTTTCCTGAGAAGCGGCCTGGTGCTGTAAGAAGAAACTGAGGCACATATGGGCCTGCTTTCTCCAGGTCCCACAAGGCTTTGGGGGCCGAGGGCAGTCCAGAAACCTGTCATCTGCCCTTAAAGATGCCTCCCACTCAGGGAGGTGGTGGTCTACAGAAATCAGTCATGGGCAACCCAGTGTCTGGTTCTGCCTGGTGCCCTCACAATAAAAACTGGGTACCGGATGTAGGGGGACAGGGGACAAAACATGAGAATGGAGAGTCTCTAAAGTTAAGGGGGCTGGCCGATGTGTCTCTGTGGTTAGAGCGTCCTCCCACCAACGAAGATTCAATGGTTCGATTATCGGTCAGGAAACATACCCAGTTTGTGGGTTCCATCCCTTGTTAGGGCACCTATGGGAGGCAACCAATTGATGTTTCGTGTTTTGTCTCTCTCTCTCTCTCTCTCTCTCTCTCTCTCTCTCTCTCCCTCCCTCCCTCCCTCTCCCTTCTCCTCCTCCTCCTTCTTTTTCTTCTTCTTCTCTCTCTCTCTCTCACTCGTCAATTTTAAAAAAAATCCTTGAATGAGGATTTAAAAAAATTAAGGGGTCGAACTAGGATAGATGCCTGGCTTCCAACCTCACTGAACTTCTCTGTGCCTCCGATTTCTCATCTATGATATAGGGGTAACCCTACCTACCTCCTAGGGTTGTTTCAAAGAGGAATTGGGTTAATAATAGGAAAGCCCTAGAACAGAGCCTGGTACGTACAAAGTACTATATAAGTAAAAAAGTAACTTCTCAAGCTCCCCTCCACAGTGGGAGGGTAGGTATGGAAGGGAGACGGGGAAATGGCCCAGGTGCGGACCCTACGAGCACCAGCGCGTACTCACTGAAGGTGCGGGGTAGGGGGGCACTAATTACCCACAATGCTTACCGCGGGCTCACCTGTGCCTCGTCCCCACACTCCCAGCGGTGCAGCCAGGGGTTCCAGAACTACATTATCCAAAATGCACCTCGCGCGCCCGCCTACGTGGCCTCCGGCCGACGCCTGACAGTCTCTCCGCAAATGGTGCGAGGATGACGTAACCCACAACACCTCCCAAAGACCCGCCTATCCAAAGTAATTACTGTTCTTGACAGCCAGCTCGGCCAATCGCGCGAGGACTACGTTACGCCCCGCCCAAAGCTTCCCGTGGACCTGCCCACGCTGCCTCGTCCCCCAGCTGGACAGCTCGTTCAGCCAATGCCCGCGCCGCTCTGCTGCGTCCTGCAGTTCGGGTCCTCTACCTCCCCCCGCGGCCA